TTGACATCCCCAACTCACATGAAACAGTGAAGAGATTGTGCCATGGCAGTCCAAAACTTTTAGTGAGGTCTAAATATGCGAATGTACCATTTAAAAATGATCCGGTTAGGAAGTCTTATTCTCGCTCTAGATTCTGATAGCAAAACGGATTGAATGGTAGCACAACTTTTGACATAAAATACCGTACTTTGTAAATTTTTGCCTTTTTGTTTGATTTAAGATACCCAAGACGGTAAAATACCGAATGCAGGGAACTTCTGCAAAACTCTACATTTGGCTATGACACAAGGAGATTGTAAGGGAAGGGAAGCATAGCAGTTAACAACGGGCCAGCAGGATATTTTAGAATAGTTGACTTTTAAAACCCGCATGGAGGAGTGAGTTAAAATGCGCAAAATCATATCTGTGGAGGAAAATATAGTGCAAATGGGCGGAAAGAGAATGCTTAAACGTGCTAATGAATTTTTTTCCCTTTCGATGAAGTTGATCTTGAGACAGACAAGCCATCCTACAGTCCTTTAACCCCGGGGAATGGACAGAATGCACACTAAAAAAAGACCAAGACATCTTCCTAAACCCTTGACTTCCTAGGTACATTTCCTTCAGCCTCTCACTAACACAAGGTTGTTAGGGATAGCCAAGTACTGCTCCTTCTAATTGCTTATACCTTCGATAAAAGATTATTACAACTTAACTAAATCGATGCATATAATGCATAAACCATTTTTCTATGTAATGGCCTTCCAAATTACGGCTGTGGCAAAACTAAATGGCTACATTAGTCCCTAAGGTATATTTAATCATCAGTCGATCCTGCGGCTAGTTTGGACCCCAAATGAAATTCGTTAACTAGAGGAACATAGTCTCTGTTTCACATTTATAGAATATATATGGCAAAAGGTTTAACAAACCGATCTTACCTCTTTGGACTTTTTATGGGTTATTAATTTTAGAAGGTATTTTATGTAAGCATCAAGTCGCTTTGGAAATTGCCTTTGATTTTCTTGAGTTGCTTGTCCAACTCGTGATTTTGGGTATGTGTAGCTATACCTCCGTCTGAGGACTCCATTTGATCATTATAAATTCCTAGGGCGCTGCTTTTCATGCATTACTGGGCAGAAAGATGCTTAATTCGCGCGGCTGTGGTACTTCCTTTGTGGTGATGGTGGGTACAGGCTTCACCACAGTTTTGTATATCATACGGTCGATGGTTGTGTCTAAGAGTGAGTCGACACAAAATGCTAGATTCCACAACTGAGGTGACCTTACCCGCCAAGCATTAATGTCAGTTTTTGAAAATGCAATAAAACGTCTGTAACACAAAAGAGTTGTCTAAAATGTTCGCACTAGGGGAAAGGTGTGAGTTCAGTTCAGTTTCGAGACTGACGAGACTCCAGAACAAAAATAAGCTCTCCTTTCCTCGCCTTCTGCAATTATCCACATGCATTGTGCACTCTCCTGCCTAATAAAGCAAAGGAATACCGACTCCTATGGTACCGGTCAAGCGGGAGTCCAAAGGTACTGATGTTGGGACTACGACTTCCTTCTCTTTCCCCATTGTTATGTTTGCCATTCTGTAATCGAAGTCTTTATTTTATCAATTTGCATGAAAATATATGCCGAAGGTATTCGTTTTAAAGTTAGATTTTACAACTGGCCGTCACTTTAGCGAACATCTTGCTTCTGCAATGTGGTCTGACCCTCGGGCTAAGCTACTGACTCACTTCTACCCTTCCCTTCGACAAGGCCAAATAACTTCTGCTGCCAAGTAGGAAGTCGCCGATCGTTCCATTGGCTTTCTCAACAATCCATTAAATTTAATATTTCCTTAAGTTTGGCAGTAATTGTGAAAGTCTATTAGTTGGCATTAACGATGCAAAGTTGGAGAATGTCCTTCCCATTTTATTTGTTCTTGGTGCAAGGTGGAATAAGAGAGTGGGAAACCATTGAGATAATCGGCATGCCTTGAGTTTGTCAAAAGCACTGGCATTTTACGAAATGCGTACTCGATAATTTGAATGAACAAGCGTCCCTTAATCCTTGTTTATCAGGTACAGATGGGTCGACAATAAAAAAATTTACAGGAATAAATGCCCTACTATCGACAGCATAACACTTTTTATGACTTGAGGAGGCTTGTTTACGTGCATCACGTTCCCTATATATGTGCGTTAGTCAGCCTCTCTAGCACCTTCGTCTCAATTTTGATTCCATAAATTATCGGCATAACGTGGTAGTGGTGCTAAATTTATTCACAAATGGTGGAATCGTTTTTGTAGATGCTGCTCAATAGCAATTTTAAAAGGCACATGGTATAATACATCAGTTGGTTAGATTCGAGTCGTTAAATTTGCACTGAGTCCTTTATCCGTCATTATCCGTCATAATTTACGCATTTTTAGTTTTCTATTTTGAAATTGGCGGCCGATAGTCTCTTGCTCTTAGCTGTTTCAGTGACGTAGCACTGCACTGTACACGTGAGTTACCTTCTGCACAGTGGACAAACTCAAGACTGGTGGCTCGTATTTAAAAAACGATTTTTTATAAACACGTCTTGTTAAAAGGCAGCATAATACACGTTCTGTAGAATAAGCGATTTGAAGTTACGAAATATAATGTGAAGTCAACTAATTCTCTAGCAACCAAAGTTTTCTTTCACGCTGATAAAGAATTGCTATGGAAATTATGTAATGAGCCGATATTACCTTATGCTGGTAAACAAACTAAAGAGCATTAATGGCTACAGCTAATGAATAGGGCAGGATCAAGAATCGAGCATGCTTTGTTTGATTAAATGAGGGTATTTTCAAACGCTCATTAAATGCTAGTGCTCTTAATTGATGCGAGGAACCAAGTGTTCTGAAAACACCAATAAAGTGTGCCTTAAAAATGGATGCAACGAGAGTCGAGTAGGAAGTCTACGACTTTAAAAAATGAAAATGTGTCGAAGTAAAAATCACCACTGTGATATGCACAGGTGTTGCTCATCGCCAGACGCCTAATATCAACGATGTGCAAATGCTTCCCATTTAATTATAATTCAAATAGTTCCTATTTGAGGACTCTGGTTCAATGCATTTACAATTCGTAATACAAGGGTTTCAGCATTATAATCCTTTACAAAAAAACTCAAAGTTGTTAAATTTGGTCAGCTTATTCAATCATGAAATTTCATACGAAGTTCCAACTCCCAAGTCAATTTACAAAACCACCAAAGCTTTGGAAGATGCAGGATTTTTGTCGAAAGGTACTGTAAGAAGCAGATACGTCAACTTCTATAGAGCCTGTGTAGAGGTGCATTGTGATTACTCATTGTCCACATACGTGCGGTTCTCGAGACAGACCCGAGTGATGATTGGTAGAGCATCAGCAAACGGTCGCAATGATGCTACAACTCCTACGCGATGATTGGTTGAATGCTATGCCTTGACAGGCACTCATCGGACACTTCCTTTATCGGATTACTAAATGCAGAGGTATGTCATCACTACAGAGCCTCAATGTCTTCCTTTCATTCTAAGTTCATCACAGAATCACGTCTCTAAAGTTGAGTTACACCTTACCATTACTCTTTAAGCCTCCTTTTTCCACTAGTCAATACCTTGAACATTTCTGTGCAGGTTATAATTAACAAGCTCTGTTATTTATTATGTAGTCTCCGAATATTTGCGAATCCATCTTTGTTCGGTGACTTTGTGATAAATTTGACCTAGTTTACATTAAGACCTCAATTGTATAGTTGTTCTCTCAGTTGAAAGATACTTGAGCCTGCCCTATATGCGTAAATGTTTTTGCGCGATAATGACCATGGAAGGCGTCATCGTTTACGCTAGAATGTAACTTCATTTTAAGCTAGTTGCAGAAGCAGAGGGAGGCGATAAATACTATTCATTGCGATGCGTCGAACATAACAAAGTCGATGAGAAGAGTTGTTCCTGATGACCTGTCTGTGATTAATTGTAGAAGCGCCTGTACCGGTGATAAAGAGTGGCCTAATAAACATCAGCATTAGTAAGAACACTAGAGTTTGGTTGTCTTCTCCCATCTGTTATTACCATCACTCTCGTGTGCCATAGGCAATACATCGAATCGAGAAGCGCAGACCAAGACCTACTACTCCAAAAGTTAACACAGTCATTATTAACCTCGGGGATTAGGTTTTCAAAGAAGAATCCATGAAAAGAACACCTGATATGCTGAAATGAGTGGATTTATACAATGGGCCAAGGGTAGCGAAACGGTCTGCGTTAGCACAATAGGAATACCATCTTGAACTTAGGTTTTTTTTACCCCATTCTTCAACGCTTTCAACGAAAATGGCGGGACCTTGAAATTTGGCGGTGGTGTTAGCGCTGATGGTAGTTCACGTTTCAAAGAGAGCATAGTAACTACAGATCCGTAAAATAGCAGTGGCAGTCAAAATTTTACAAGCACATTGTAATGCAATATGGACTCGACTCTTGTTATCATTACCGATTGCCACTTCATATTCTGCTTTTCTGCAGGTGTCCTTCTCAAGTGTCCTGAATGGAATTGCACTGAGGGGTACTATGTTCACTCTCCGTGTTGGTATATGGTGTCTGTGTGTGAATGGTCTGTTAACTACCTTTATTTGTTTTAAAGCTTTGAGTTACTGGAGCGACAGCTGGTTGATAGCTCCATTTTGTCGTAAAAAACGCAAGGAAAAAACAGCGACCCTTGTATTAATCAACACTGTATTTAAACATTTGATGCGAGGTTACAGTTTCGCTTGTAAAATTACAATACGAACGTTTCGACCAACCTTAAAAAAAAGTAAAAATAATGGATAATCTTCAAAGCCTCTGTAGATTTGCATTTTGATAAAAAGCAGTCTACACGGTAGAGGTCATGATAGCCTTTTGTTGCAACATTGTGCCAGAAAATTTATGGTTAGGACAAATAAACTAAGACATAGAAGAGTCCTCCACGCCATACGGTATGTCAGCAAAATTCAACGAGTTTAATGCTTAATTTTTAGAATGATCGTAGGGTTTGAAATCGAGAGAAATAAGTCTAATAATCTTCAACTGTTGTAAAGTTCTGCAGTTAAGAATGAAGGTAAAATAGTCTAGTCCTGTTGTTTTTTTGGGGAAAAATCCTATTTTTTTACAAGTGTGTTGTTTTGATTCCCTCAGGGAGACATAGGAACTTGATTATGGAGAAAGTAAGGAACAGCTGATGACTATCGTAAACTATTAAGCCCCTGATTCTCACTTAATGCATTGATGGCTCAAAAACTTCATATTATGTAAAAAACAATCTAGGGTCGTGAGTTTTCTTGTATTTACTCAAAAATAAGTCTGTAAACAGCTAAAGCTTCAACTTCGAGTGCATTTTACGCAGCCTGTGTAATTCTGCTTTAACGACATGTGGGGGAATTACATACGTTTTACGATTGCGACAAGCTTCAAAGCATTCAAGCCTCTCATTCATACGCTTAGTATTACTCGGTAGTCTGCATGTCGAAGAATTGGTTGGGTATCAATCTGAACCCTGTACTGATCATGAATTGGCTACAGCAACACAATGCTTTCGTCGCATTCCCGATGCCGTCTATTCTTTGCCGAGTGGTTACACCGTTCTGCTTCATTGTATCGTGGAAAACATGCGTGGCAAAGCCCAGTGGCGCTTTAATAACCTACTTCTAGGTGAGAGTAAAAGAATATATTTTGCTAGAATTTGGAGTGCAAATGGTCACTTGCTAGTTTCATTTAGTAAAAGACCAACCTTAATAGCTCAGTTATAAAAAATTTTACAATGATTCTTCCAATCGGCATTTGCTTTATGGCCGCGAAACCCTTAATCATAAAGCCATTTTGTTTCTTATCAGTCTCCTTTTGCTGTGGTTTGTTACCACCTCATTCACAGGTCACGATCGTAATGTTCCTGGTTTTGAGCGCATTTCAATGCCAGGTGACCCCAACACCGGTGACGTTAGCCTACAAATAAGAAATCTCACTGTCAGCGATACAGGGGAATATGAGTGTCAGGTCACTCCAAGCATGAACCATCCCCTTTTGAGAAGAAAGACATGGCTCCAAGTTACAGGTGCCTAATCACGCATTTTATTTTATTCCTTATTTCGAATACCACTTTCCAGATGGGCTAGCGTCATGCTTTGCTCCAACCTTAGTGATGCCATCTATTCCAAGACTGTTTGCTCTTGGCAAAGAGGTAAAGGACAGAAGTCTCGTCGTCCCTCTACCAGACGAAGAAAAGACCATAACCGTGGAGTGCGTGGCCCCAAACGGAATTCCGCCACCTGATTTTTACTGGAAACTTAATGATGTTCTGCTTCGAAGCATGCCCACCGATGTCAAATCCCCTGGTGAGCGCTTTACCTGCTGGTCTTAAAAATTACTCCCTAAACGCACACGGATCTGAAGGAATTAATTTATTGGAACTATCAAGGGTAATTTTTCTACATCATTAATATCTACGCTTACTATAGGGTCATCTTTCAGACTGAGAGGAGTATGCTAAGCTAACATAATTACAGGTTACTCAGTTCACATTATTTAGATATTTCATCCTTTCAGATGTCATGAAGGAGAACACATTGATGAATTTAACACAAATGATCTTCGTGATTTATCCGTGTCCTGATTTTCCTCCCTTTTTTGAAACATTTTCTAAGTTATCTGGAGGCCCATAGGTTCAGTGACGCCTTGTCGACTAAATACTATTGGGTGGGAAGTTTTCAAGTGGAAGTTAGTCCATTTCATTGAATTCAACATGTGTATCTCAAATATTGTGAACCGTAACGCAAACTTTAATGCCGCGAAAATCCTAAATTGCCATTTGCAAATTAACCAAACGCGTTCTTCATGCGGTCATTCCTTTCGAGCATAACGCCGTTGATGACGGTCATCGGCATTCCCTCCTCCTAACGCCAGAGTGCGTTTGTTGATGACCTCCATTACGACGCTGCAAATTTAGTGGTCAGTGGAACCTCCACTGAGGGAATAAGAACATAATTTCGTTTGGACGACTGTAATCGCTAATCTCCTTCTTCCTTTCGACTTTTCGTTTTGTTCCTTGTAACCACTGTTTGGTGTACGGGGTACCAATACCTTGCAATTAGCATAATCACACCCAGGCCTAAGGAAAACTGTCATGGTCAGAAACAAAGCACCAACTAAAAAATCATCTATCAGTACCTTTCATTAACCATGTCGTGTGGTGTAATGAGATGCAGAAGACGCAGTTCAAGCATGTGACCTGGTCGCTTTAACTTTTGGGACGTGAGTATTCATGCGTTTGGATTTGTGGTAGCTTAAGCACTTCCAAGTCCCCATCAAATCAGAGGTGGTATCAAGCTAGGGCTTTTTACAGCCAGATCTCAGTCAATTTTATAACGACTGGATGGATGGATGTGGTACCATAGTTTTCTACCAAATTGGTCAGAATAATGAGCTAATCCGGTTGGTTGTATGCAGCGGCTGGTCTCTATGCTAATTCAAATGATGAGGGCCTCGCACATGGTGTTGCACACTCATTTTTCGACTGGAGGTAGCAAAGGCGTGCTCTTTGGTCATTGTGTGCCACAGTCCCTACGTGACTGCATAATGAGATGCTATGGTATATATATATCTGTTTCCATGGTTGGTGTAGGTTTCGCTCAATGCATAACAACGCAGCGAGGTAGTCTCCGGTCTTGAGAGAGTTACGGCTAATTACTTGGCTTGCTGAACCACAATGACGTCTAAGATGAGTCTTAGGATTAGCTCCTTGCGGATTTTGAGTGTTTAGATATGGCGCACTTGGAGAGACTGTTCTGGTGGATTTATTAGGCAGCTGAGAAGCATAGTACTAGACACTCGCATATTTGAATGGTAGCTTTTGACAGTAATCGGTACCATCAGAACTAACGTAACACAAAGTCTTCATTATTTCTTCCCTTCATACAAACCACTCATAGCTATATAAACGAAGGGGAAACTTTACCAACCTGACTTATCCTCTTCATCATCTGATTAAGATACACACAGTGGATAAACTTACATGCTAAAATGAGTGATTGGTTTCCTCAAATAAGCAAGCAGATAGTGATTAATGAGCCAATTAAGCGAATTAAACAAATCGCTAGCACAAAATTTTGTTATTTATAAATGGGTCGACTGTTCAAAATGAATGATGAACTTGACGACGTAAAGTTACCCACTTATGTTACGTTGCGGCTTCGACTACTCTGCAAATTCTAAATTCTGTTCACTTTAAAATACAAAAGTCATTTTTTTGGTCATTTTGATTCTACTTTCAGTAAAGTGGCCTCAGATCGTCACAAATCAAGGAGAGGATCGGTCACTAGTGACCCTACTCAAATCTGACCTCAAAACAGGTGACAATCTCACTTGTGAAGTTAGCAACAACGCAACTTTGGCTCGTGAGGATTTAACGGCGCGCACTCTGCGTACTACCACCCTATTTGATGTCCATGGTGAGCTAAACCTAGGTCTTCGTGTAGGGGATTGACAGTATCGAAACAATACAATATATTTGGTATTATTTTTATATTTATGGATTTAAACAAAATTTAATTCTAAAATTATTGTTGTTAAATAATTTTTACTTAATGAGTTGGTCTCACTTGGGTTGATTTCTCTTTCCTACACACCAAAGGTTCTGCATTTGCGTGAAGGATTTCGAAATTTTACAGAAGAGATTCAGAAAGTATGCATAGTATTTAATTTGACACTAACGCAGCAGATTGATGCAAACGGTTGGGTTACTTTAAATTTGAAAGTCGCGATGGAACCTTTGTATCAGGTTTATGCCATCTCTTTAACTCGGAACCTGAGTTTAGTAAAGCCAAATCTTTATTAGTACCCTGGTCGCGTGTATAATGCAAGAGGTATATGGGGTATTCTTACCGTAAGGTGGGTCTGGACTCAGGATTTGATCAATTCCTTGGTTTATTTTTGTGGCGGTTGGTTGACAAGAGCGTGATCCTTTTTCTCCTTCTCCTCTCCTTTCCCTCCGGAATGGTTTGGTTACACTTTCGTTATATTTCCGCTGGTTATCTCACACCAACTAGCGGACAATTTATGCTCACTTTTATAACACAATTTGTTCATCTGATGCACATTCGCATCTGCGTCTCTAGCTTCACTAATACAGTCCACCTCTCTCTTACTCTCGCTCTGGCTCTCGCGCTTGGGCTCTCCCTCTCCCACATTATCTAATCTTGCCGTTTAACCGGATGCGCAGGCAATAAATACACCTGGGTCTTGCCCCGCCGCCTCTATCCTCACTTGGAGGATCCTATCACGCTGTGTCGATATGTACGAAAATTAGCGACTGTAAATTTTCACGGAATTAATCTCTTCCTTCCATCGGATGACAATTTCATAGATTGGCTAATAAAAGCCTCTTCCTTCCCCAATCAAACTGGCAATGTTGCGACCCGCCGTTACACTATTTCCAATTAGGAATGTCAAGGCGATGGATAAGTTACCAGGACATCTTGGGGAGTGGAAGACAGAATCCCTCTGAAAGGAATGAACAACACAAGGCAATCTGGCTAAGGGCACGGTTGTGATTGTATGGAGCGCTTTGGTCTATGTCGATAACTTGAATCATCATTCCAGCAATAAAGAGAAAACTGTAGATTTTTAAAATCTTTCAGATGGAAGAACTGAGTAGTTGCGAAGACATCAACCCATTATTCAAGAGTATTTTAGGGCTTCAAATCGACATAAACTTTACTTCTGGTTGTGAATGATCTGACTTTAATGTCAAATGCTGAAACTTTGCTTAATCTCTGACTTTCTGAATTTGTATGGATGGATCGCTACTGCGATGGTACATACCGGTATAATGAAATGTCTAATGCCTAATTAAAAACAGTCGGATTTTTTAATCCCACATTAACCCTCCAAAACTGTCATTAGGGATTGTTTCAGGCCCTCTTCTGGTTCAATAAAGTAACCTGCAACAATGAGGGCCTTTTTAATTACGGTACAATTTGAACAGTGAAATACCATTATAAGTAGCACTAAAATGTTGCTATAAATATTATTATTTCGAAGTGGAATCAGAACGATGTCAGTTGTTCAAATTAACCTAATGTTATGCGGAAAACAAATGGCTACTACTAGAAGATGAAAACCGGGCAAAAGTAATGACTAATTTTGTAAGTACGCTGGAAGGCGGGACCATAACGCGCAAAACAGAGGTGTAGCGACAACAGAATACTCTAGAAGAGAATGAAACTGCGATACTTTGGCAGAGTTTGTATTGCTGACGTAGAGGAGGGATGATACTACTGACATGACCAAAAAGCCATGTTGTGTAGCAAATGTGCAATAGGAAAGTCGAAAGTATCATTCACTAGTCCTTTCCCTTTAGGTGAAAAACAAGCAATTTCAGATGGATTGTGATCATTTCGATTGCTCAAGGTCTCAACAGCATTTCTACAGATTTACCCTCATTATTTGTCACGTAACGAAAACAAATTTAGTAGTAAATTTGGTTTTCGCTGTCGTCGGTGTGCTGAGTCTAGACAACCATAAGGGAGATACAAATGGGCCAGAAGAATGAAGGGTAATATGTCAGGGTTTGTCAGCTATGTGTGTCAGCAAGATTGGAAAAACTGAGTCTTGAGTAGCCCTTCGACCAAAACTAAGAATACACGAGGTATGACATTAGCAATCAGTGGACACGGTCGAATTTAAAGTTTGATTATACATTAAAGTTATTTATAATTACAAGAAATTTTCAAGAATAATTATCTGAACTGTAGTACCACCAGGACCTCCAAGAATTACCTTCCTCAGCAATCAATACGGCGAAGCCTTTAAAGAGGGAACCGACCTACAAGCAGAATGCGTAGCAATACCTCCTGGGCACCCGGTGGGGGCTCTCTTTTGGCGTTGGCACTTTCCCCCTTCTCCACAAGCGACGCAGCCACCACTGCCACGCATTCCTCCGGGTCTGCCCTTCTATTCGCATGACTTTGTCCAGACCATCGCCAACACGGAGGACGTACCCACCAGCTTCTACGAAACTTTTACTAACGGGGAGTTAAAAGCCGTACTCACAATTCCAAACATTAATCGACGCTACCACTCAGCTAAACTATCCTGTGAGACTGTACACGATACTGGCGTCTCGAGGAGGGTGGATGCGAATGTCAAAATACGTTGTGAGTTAGCAAATAGTGGAATTACTTCCATATACAAATAAATCGTAACAATAGAAGACTACTGGTAATGCTTGGCCCCTTTTTATGGGACAACCAAATTCACACGCTGCTATTAACGATGCGATTGAAGGATTTCACATAAAAAAAATCACTGAAATATGAGTCGGTTCGTTGGACTGTCCGATAAAGTACTGTGAAGTAAACCAATCCACAATCTAGTCTACATTCCGAAAATTTTTTTGAGTACTTGATCCAGCGCACGGGACTTGCGCCCAACGCGGACGTCTTGCCGACCTGTGATCCACCATGGCAAAATTAGTCCATACTAAGTATTAAGGCATCTTTCCTCTTTTGAACGTCAAAGAAAGGCTAAACAACGATATGCGGCAGGATGTTACAGCCATCCAGACCTAATGATAGCTTTGCTATGCTAGCAGCATTCTTTGGGCATTTTCAACTTCCAAGTCTAATTTATAAAAATTATAGGACTCTATTCTAAAATAATACAAGAAGCCCACTACTTTCTCCAGTTGTTTTCCAAATCTGCATATCGAAGTTTCTTAAGATTGTTTGATCACAATTTATTATACAGCCATGTATAGCATTAACTAGCGAGGTTATCCTGATACCATTAGCATCAAGAAACCATATTTCAAACTAGCTTATTTTTCATCGTTTTGAATCGCTTCGATGCAGGTTTACTGCGTTCTTGTAAAATGGCAATTGATAGATGGAGTGGTAAAATTGTGTAGTATTTTTGATATGGTTGCATGCATAACGTTGAGGTGGGCCCTGCTCTAGGCTCTGGACCCTTCCTCTGGGGTTCTTCAGAAGGGGAATCTTCTCTGAGAGACTTTACTAGACATGCTAAGGGTTATTATCGCCAGAGAGGGAGGACGGATAGGGGGTACGAGAGCATAACTATGGTACCTGAAGATCGTCTCCACGCTCTCCAAGTTTGGTGTTCGAATTGACTTTCTGCCTCCTCTTGCACTCATTATATATTACTAGCGATTTCGCTGGGTTTTGAATATTTCCTAACGAAATGTTAATCTGTAAAATTTGCGCACGTTTCCATCTCAAGCGTCACCCTACCCCATTCAAATGGAATATCATATCTCCAAAATCGACCACAAGTATAAAATTTTCAGTCTTGGCTACAATAATTCGACTTAAAAGTGCTTACGCCTTTTGTGGTCATGGAAGACTTTGATTTTGAATGGTATTAGGCCGTACATTGCTTAGGGAAAGGAGGCCTTCTTTTGACACTTAAACCATTCTTCATTGGGTACGCTGTATACACGATCATCAGAATCGCAAAGATGGTTTATTTAAAAAGACGAAAGCTGCGCTTAAGTGTTATCTGCAGAAAAAGTGATCAGAAAGCGATATATACCAAACGAATTGTCTGTTATATTGAATAAATATTATTTACGGGGGGAAATTTTTTGTAGATTTAAAACATTCGACTGTAGATGCTCTTTCCCACATTAATCCACCTTTGCAAGATCAATCACCGGGCAAAGGTCTAATTTATAAAAACAAAAGCCTGCTTTGTTGAAATTACTTGTTACACTGGACTTAATTTTCGACAATATTCTGAATGTATGCGTTCGCTTTAATTCCAAAGGGAATCAGAAAGGTAGCTCTCATCATTGATAAATTTATTTGTAGTTTCACACTTCTCGCATGCTTCCGGTGTTCACGGATGTGATTTAAGCTTTATTGGACTGCAAAGTCATTGCTAGCACTCCTGATAATATGGGCAAATTATCACTGATTTCATCTGCACTTCTCCATTGCTTTCCTAGGGCTTGCATACCTTTGGTGATACTTCAAAGAAGGCTTTATTGAGGTAGGTTTTGATCGGCCCATAAAGTTTAGGTGATGAAGAGCCAAGACAACTTGTTCCACTCTCTCTTTCATCTCCTACACAGCAAACTGTTATTGACTGTTCAAAATTAGTACCTGACGTCAGTTTTATTTTTGCAGGATTTGAAATAGGAAATGTCATTTGTTATTTGCAGGCGCATCAAATGTTAGTGAAGAAAAGAGCCAGTGGTTAAGTTTAAACTTAACCTAACATCGGTAGTAAAGGTATTAAGCACTGAATCTTGAATTTGCATGAAAAATGACTTTGCTGTCCTTAGAGGACTCGCACTTGAGTTAAAGTTAAAGTCATCACAACTAGTCGTTAGCAGGTTTGAGGCTCGTATCATCTTTCGCTTAACCCTTTATCCGGAGCGAGCTTTCCAGAAAACTTTGGTGTTGATTCACAATGGTGTGGATGGGAATTACGCATGACCAAAGCCTTGTTGCAATGTAGAAG